AGGTAGGTAGGTAGGTAGGTGGGTGGTAGGTAGGTAGGTAGGTAGGTAGGTAGGTAGGTAGGTAGGTAGGTAGGTAGGTAGGTAGGTAGGTAGGTAGGTAGATACATGAATAGATCAGTAGAGAGGTAGTGAACTGGCCATCAGCGGCGCTTTAAACAGCAGCGCTTGCGGTTCCATACATGATACCTATGATGGCGACACATCCCCTACAAAAATCCTCTTTGTTCACAGACCCTAAACCCTTAAGTCCTCAACAGTTTTCACCCTAAACCCTTAACCCCAAAACCCTAAACCCTAAAACCCTAAAACCCTAAAACCCAAAACCCCAAAACACTAAATCCCAACCACCTAAACCCTTTAACCTTAAACCCTAAAACCCAAAACCCTAAAACCATAAACCCTTTGTCCTAAAACCCTCAAGCCCTAAATCCTTTGACCCAAACTCCTCACTTCTCACAGTAGGAGCCGAGAGGCGGGTTGCTGCTTCTGCAGCATCCCGGAGCTCCTCCGGATCAAAGACGCGATCCTGCTGCACAGAGGGTTTAGGGTTTTAGGATTAGGGGTTTAGGAGTTTAGGGTTTAGGGTTTAGGGTTTTAGGGTTTAGGGTTTAGGGTTTAGGTAATTTAGGGTTTAGGGTTTAGGGGGCTTAGGTTGGGTACTGCCCCAATACAGTAACAGTCTATAATAGAGCTACTATTAATGGCCTTATATATATATATATATATCTCTCTCTCTCTCTGTCTCTCTCTCTCTCTCTCTCTCTTTTATGACTATTATCCAACTGTTACTGAGTGGGGCAGTATCCAAGGCTTAAGGTTTAGGGTTTTAGGTGGGCAGAAGAAAACGGTTTCGGGCTTCAGGGTTTGTCAATTTGAGGTCTAATGCTCATGGTTCGTAGACTCAACCCTAAACCCTAAACCCTAAACCCTAAACCCTAAACCGTGCAGTTTAGGGTTTGAGCGTATAGGCAGTACAGTAGAGGTGTGGGCTTGAGATTATGGTTTCGGCCTTTGGGCATTGGACTTTCAGGGATTGTAGGGTTGGGCGCAGCTCAACGCAAAATGTTGGACGTGGATGAACAGAAGCCTACATTACATACGCATGCGCACACTACACCGTACACCTTTCGCTAGATGCTTGCGGCTGATAACTGTTCAGGAGTTTGTCCATCAACAGCCTCACTTCGTTTCTTTCGAAAACCCTTGAACCGAAAAACTTCCCTAAACCCTAAACCGCAAACCCCAAACCCCAAACCCTAAAACCCTAAACCCTAAACCCTAAAACCCTAAAGCCCTAAACCCTAAAATCCCAAACCCCTGTAATGGACTGTGATTTAGAAGCACTGCACCATGAACCATACCCGCATGTCCTGCAGCATAGACATCACGTGGCCGTGCAGCTCGTCAGCCCTAGCAAACGAACATGTTCGCTTGCCCTTAGCATCAAAATAGCACAAAAGCCTTATATAATAGGGTCTTTGGGCCCAAAAGCCTTAAAATACGAGTCCTTTGAAGGTAAGGGATAGACCTTCGGATTTGGATTTGGAGTGTGGTCAACGTTTAGAGTTTAGGCGCGTAGGCAAGACGAGCTCTACTGAGCGACGCAAGCGGGTTTTCAGTTGCAGTGGATCGAGGCGAAAGTGAGATTCCCTTGCCACCCATCCATTACCGGTCCATTGCCCATAACCAGCGCTTGCGAACAGTTCTTTAACCTTCATGCGCCCACTAATTAAGCCAAGGCTTGAGTCTATCCGACCCGCTTCTGGGGTGCTCTCTGCTTGCGGTGAGGTCTCGCCTTGCCCGCTGTGTCCCATAGACATTAGAATTTATCTTCCATTAGTTTCAGCACATTTGCGCCCTTAGGCATGAAGGCACCCCGGCCCAGTTGGAACATAAACAGAAGGCCGTTTGGCCTGATCATTGCTCCCAGAAGCTTCAGAGCCTCAAATTGGGTGGAGCTTGTGAGCTTGTCCGTCGCTGCCATCTTCCTATCCAAGAGGTAATTGAGGCGCACTCTCCTTGATATCTGCACGCGGAACAACATGAACCTGAGCTCCAGCATCCAAGAGAAACCCGCTGCCCCGCACTTCCTGCAGCAACGCCGGCTGCGGAGTTCTTCTGGCATGCCGATGAGGACTTCCGACGTATAGCAAAAACCTGTAGCCCAAAAATACCTACGGGGTTGTCTTAAGGTTCCGCATTATGGTGTCGTTATATAAAGTCCATGCAAGGGTAGGTTTTCGGCTACAGTTGCTTGCTAAGTCATGAAGATCGCTGTCGATGGTAACCCGCTGACAGGATCATCTCTCAGAAAATCATGGCAAGTATATGTGGCATTGGGCTTCGGATCTTGGGTTTAGGGGTTTAGGGGTTTAGGGGTTTAGGTTTAGGGTCTAGGGTATAGGGTATAGGGTTTAGGGTTTAGGGTTAGGGGTTTAGGGGTTTAGGGCTTACGGGTTAAGGTGTAGGGACAGTGTAGGTTGTTAGGAGAAACAACATGCCTCCTCAATGCAACGGAAATGCATCTGGATAGTTTGCCGGTTGAGCCCAGATAAACAGACCCTTCACCCTGCGACGTTAGCAGGATAGACGAAAGAAGCCGCTAAAGACCCTAAGACACAAATCCTGAAAACACAGACCCTAAACCCAATAATAGAGCCCAAACCCTCAACAAAAACCAAAGCCCAAAACGCACGCGGAAACCCGAAACCAGAAAGCCCAAACCCTAAGCTAAAGGAAGACGTAACCTTAAACCCCAAAGCCCAATTCCTAGACAAATGTGCACTAGAGAGCCTCGCGCCGTCCAGCAAGTCGCACTCATTGGGCACCACGTTGCCGAAGGTGTAGCGGAATGCAGCTCCCAACTTCCGGAGCAAAGACAACTCGGCCACATGTTCTGCTCCTAGACCTTCCAACATCCCTCAGTTTAGCCATATTAAACTAAAAGTCTGAGTAGGATCCCTGGTATGATTTAAGGTATACTCTTTCATTAATCTATTTTGGAAGGTCTGGCTTCTTAAGGGACTGAATACACTAGCCCCAAAAAAGGTCAAACACCGTCATGCAGATTTCGGGCGCTTGGAGTGCTCAGGATGACAACGAGAGATGGGTGGGGCGTTAGGGCTCAAGCCATTACCCGTACCCTCAAAGGAGTCGCATGTTAAGGCTTTTTGGGCCCAAAGACCCGATTATATAAGGCTTTGGGGCTATTTTGATGCTAAGGGTTAGAGTGAATCCCGGAGAGTTGAAACATAGATTTAGGATGATTAGTGCTGGGCTTCCCTGTACCTTACCCCAATTAAAGGGGCATGAGTTGGAGAATGATGTTCCAACTTTCTGCTTTCTACTTGAGGGTTAGGGCTGTAGAGTTCTGCGGTATTCGTTGCTTAATTAGGGTTCAGGTCTTTGCGCTTGAAGGCTGGGTCCTGCATTTACCCTAAGGGTCCAAGTACCTAATAAGCATATACTCTCCGAATTAGTAACCTACATAACTACTATCCGAAACCTAAGTACCTGATTATTGGGTCCTTTGGACCCTTAGGGTTAGGATATTAGTGCTTAGGGCTTTCGGGGTTTAGGGCCCAGGGCCTTTCTGAGCGTTGCAGGTCGGTTTAGGGTTTAGGGTTTAGGGTTTAGGGTTTAGGGTCTTCTTGTCCAGAAGCCCCAGAAGCAGAAACAGTTGGCTTCGCGTCATACGGGGCTCGGGCTCGGACCTTAAATTAAAGGAAACTACAGGTGGGGAGTTTAGGGTAAAAAGGGCTTTTATAAGGCTTCTATGAGGTATGTTTTTATACGGTCTTATAACGGTAACTGCCCACCTGAAAATGTCCCAGACTAAAATTAAAATAAAGCGATATACTTCAAACACCCTAGCTCTCAACCCGAAAACCTAAACCATAAATCCTTGATCTCCCAGATCCAAACCTCTCTATCCCAAACCCTGGAACCCTAAAAACCCTAAAACCCTAAACCCCAAACCCCAAAAAAAACCCAAACCCTCAACCCCTAAACCCCAAACCCTGGAACCTGGAACCCTCACCCTTAAACTCTAAAATCCTAAAACCCCAAACCCTAAACCCTAAAACCCTAAACCCCAAACCCTAAACCCCAAACCCTAAACCCTAAAACCCCAAACCCGGAAACCCTAAACCCTAAAACCCTAAACCCTATAAACCCCAAAACCATAAACCTCTGGGTATAAGAACTTTCAAAAACCCTAAGCCCCAAACCCTAAACCCTAAACCCTAAACCCCAAGCCCTAAACCCCCTGATGAAACCACGCCTTTCCAGGCCTGCAGACAAAGCCTAGGAAACCTCACAGCACACTAAAGCTAAACCCTATGTTAAAGGAAACTACAGGCGGGGAGTTTAGGGTTTAGGAGGTTAGGGTTTAGGGTTTAGGGTTTAGGGTTTAAGGAAACTACAGGTGGGGAGTTTAGGTACATAGGGCTTCTATAAGGCTTCTATAAGGTATACACACCTTCTATAAGGCTCCTATAACGGTAACTACCCACCTGAAGATGTCCCAGACTATGAAACCCCGGAAACAAACACCTCGAAACGAACCCCGTTAAACCCTGCCACACGACTATGAACCCCTCCTCCCCCCCCCCCGCTTCGGTTTCAACAAAAACTAAAGTCTTTTACCCTAAAGCCTCGAACCTAGAACCCTAAACCCTAAAGCCCATAAACCCCTAAACCCTCACCCCACTAAGGGCCCGAACCCTAGCCTCCGCCCCCAAAAACCCAGAAACCCTAAACCCTCACCCCACTACCCATAGGCCCATAGTAGTTCCTTTTTGTGGTTTGTATTTAGGATCCTATTAGGTAACCCCAACAAGGAACTACTAGGGGGCCTACCCTAAACCCTAAACCCGAAACCCGAAACCCATAAACCCTAAACCCTAAACCCCGAAACCCATAAACCCGAAACCCTAAACCCTAAACCCTAAACCCTAACCCGAAACCCATAAACCCTAAACCCGAAACCCATAAACCCTAAACCCTAAACCCGAAACCCATAAACCCTTAACCCTAAACCCTAAACCCGAAACCCTAAACCCTAAACCCTAACCCGAAACCCATAAACCCTAAACCCGAAACCCGAAACCCATAAACCCTAAACCCTAAACCCGAAACCCATAAACCCTTAACCCTAAACCCTAAACCCTAAACCGAAACCCTAAACCCTAAACCCTCACCCCACTAAGGGCCCGAAGCAGTCCAAGGAGCCAAAGGCCACCCGGAGGCTTCCAAGTGCGACAAAGGGAAGTCGAAGAAGAAAAGAAGACCTGGAGAGGCTTTGGGTTTAGGGTTTAGGGTTTAAGGTTTAGGGTTTAGGGTTTAGGGTTTAGGGTTTAGGGTTTAGGGTTTAAGGTTTAGGGTCTCGGGCTTAGGGTGTAGGGTCTCGGGTTTAGGGTATAAGGTTTAAGGTTTAGGGTCCAGGGTTTAGGGTTTAGGGGGAAAAAGGTTTAGGGTTTATAGGGTCTAGGGTTTAGGGTTTAGGGCCTCGGGCTTTAGGGTTTCAGGGGGTGGGGTCCGAAGATTTGGGTCTTTCAGGTTTACGGGTTTTGGTTTTAGGGTTTAGGGTTTAGGGTTTAGGGTTTAGGGTTTGGGGTTTGGGGTTTGGGCTTCAGGCTTTTGGGGTTTAGGGTTTAGGGTCTAGGGTTTAGGGTTTAGGGTTTAGGGTTTAGGGTTTGGAGATAATCTAAGGTCTTCAAGGTTCAGGGGCTGTGAGGCTTCTGCTTTGAGCGAATGCTTCCCGTCCTGCCAAGCTCAGACAGGCTATCCAAGCATCCCTCGTTTAAGGTTTGAGGTTTAAGGTTTGCAGTAGGGTTGACGGTTTATGGGGTCAGAAGCCGTGTTTTCGGGCTTTCCGGGGATGTAAGGATGTCTATGCTTCAAGGCTTGGGGGCTGACGGTTCCGGGTATAGGGTAAAGCGGGTCAGGAGAAGGCTTAGCGTTGACATGTTGGCGGATATTGAAGCTTCATAAGTTTTCAGCACTTCTGTTAATGTCTGTTCGAGTTCATAAATACGCATGTGTAGCTTGAAATTGAGGCTCCCTGTGTTCTCTAATTGTTTGGTTCACTGGGTTCAAGGTCTTGGGTATGCGGAATTTCAAGCTTAGGGCTTAGCTTCGGATGGCTTCCTTCTCCGGATGAAAGCAAGGGGGTCAGCTAAGGATTCTACCATCTAGGGTACCCGAAGCCCCAAACCCTAAACCCGTTGTTTCCTGAAGCTCTCGTGCAACCTCTCCCCAGAACCCTAATCCGTATACGCAGGCAGTCAAGGGTCTCGTACCCCACGTTATGAATTCCATCGGCACCGTCTCTCCAACAGAGTAAAGTTGCATTCTAGGTTTCAGGATTTAGGGCTTGGGGTGTCACGAAAGGATAGAAGATGCAAAACAACACCTGCAAAGAGACCCTCTTACACCCACCTAGACCCTAAACCCTGAACCCTAAACGCTGAACCCTAAACCCTAAAGCCTGAAACCTAAACCCTAATGCCTGAAACCTAAACCCTGAACCCTCAGAACTGACCATGAAAGCATGTGAGCCAGTCTGGACCTTCAGTGATCCCCATAAACCCCGAAGATTGAACTCCTAAAACGCTTCGAACATTCCCCAAAACCCTACAAGCCGCAAACATCCTAAACCCGATTGAAAGGCTTATTTCTGAAATCCCAACAGCCTCAAACTTCCGACACCTCAGTATAAGCCCTACGAATCCCCAAGCCGACAAAAACCCGCACACTAAGCCCTAAACCCTAAACCCCAAACCCTAAGCCCTAAACCCCAAGCCCTAAACCCTAAACCCTAAACCCTAAACCCTGAGCCCTAAACCCGGGGCCTTCGAGTTCCAGCTGCACCTTCGCGGGTGCACGCAAGGGAGGCGACGCCGTGCATTTCGGGCTCAAGGGTGTTTCGGGCGGTTTTTAGGGTTTAGGGTTGAGGTGTTTCGGGCGGTTTTAAGGGTTTTTGGTTGCTGTTCACAGCCTTTAATCCGACTTTAGGGTTCAGGGCTTTTAGGGTTTAGGGCTTTTGGGGCTTTTAGGGTTCTGGGTTTAAGGCTTTTAGGGCTTTTAGGGTTTAGGGCATACGGCTTTTAAGGTTTAGGGCTTGGAGGCCTTTTAGGGTTCAAGGGCGTTTTGGAGGGCCGTTGGGGTCTGGGGCATGCAGGCTTTGGGGTTTCGGGCCTTCGGGAGGGCTGGAGAAGGTCAGGAGTAGCGTGGGTTTCAGCTGAAGAAGAGCCGCCGGATCAGCTTTGCCCTCCCCGAAACCTGTTGCGGTGTAGGGTGTAGGGTTTACCTGTAGCCGAAAAAACCTACCTTCTTAGGGTTCCCTAGTATGGTTTCTATATATATATATATATAATACATAAGTCTTTAAAAAGGTAGGTTTTTGGGCCACAGGTAAGGCTTTATAGGGTTTAGCCTAAACCCCTGTAAACCCTACATCAAGCAAGTCTCCCATTTTCGGGCCTCTGAGCGAGACTCGGTACACAGCATTTCATCCCATCAGAGCATCCAAAAACCCTAAACCCTTAATCCTGAACCGGTGTTTATGGATGTCAGCACGCCGAGGCGGTCAAGTTCATGGGGGCCTTAGAGAGTGCGACTTCGAGAAACGTACCCATTTTCAAAAAGCCCTACACCCCTAAACCTTCGAGAGGAGGCATATGGGAGAATGGCATCGAACCCTGTCAGGGTCTATTAAGTTGTTGAGGGTTTTTAACTTGTTGGGTTCAATGTTTCGGGTGTGCGAAAGACGCGCTGTGCTGGTGGAAAGAGCTTTTATGTATTGTGGGAGCTGGGGATTTCGGTTTAGGGCTTCGGGTGTCTGAGTCAGAGAGAATAAGGTTCAGGATATGAGCTCAGGGTTTCGGATATTGATATGGCACTTGATCAAAAGACACTGCCCAAACTAACCTGGAGAAAGCTAGCTTCTTTATGGAGCAGCGCCCTCTTAACTCAGGAGGTCGATCTAAGGAGGTGTATCGCCAATGATCCCTCCTCTCAAAGCACCTTTGGGACATCCCCTTCCTGATATGTATGTATGCATCTTAGGTAGGTGCGTAATTATTATAAGGCAGCCAAGTAGGTCGGTACATATTCATGGAAACATGCATGCATACGTACCTACGTATGCACATACATCCCCCCAAATATAAACGGCGTACTTGTGCAAAACGATAAAGAAGCGTGAACAACTAACCCAATGATATTCCTCAGATTGCCTTATCGTCGTGGTAACAATAATGTACCCACAGACCCTGTTCTCATGATTGAGGCCCCTGTAGTCTACCCTTGCAGGTGCCTTCCTCCACAGCATCTCGTGCACCTGCGCATCCGCATTGTGAGCTACACCGCTGATGTCAACCTTGGATGCAGGCTCAAGGCTCAAAGGCTCAGTGGACACCTTGATGTCTTAGGGTTTAGGCTTTAGGGGTTTAGGGTTTAGTTTTTCTAGGGTTTAGGGTGTAGCGGTCAGGGTTTAGGGGTTTAGGGGTTTAGGGTTTAGGGTCAACCTTAACAGAACAAAGCGCGCGGCAACACTGCGCTGCACCACTAGCTCACACATGATAAACCGCCTCAAGTCTCATGTCATCTATGCCAGGGCCTCTCATAAACCCCTTCTCAGTCAAAGCTCCGCGGTGCAGCGGTGGACGCAGAGGAGCTCGGTGACTGATAGCACCATTGTGCCCAGGAAGCAGTCGGCCTGTCTTTTGCGAACTCCTCAAGAAGTTATGGGCCACTTCGGCCAATATCGGCGTTAAGTTAGGGTTCAGGGTTGAGGGCATAGGAGCGTGACTATTGAATAGAGGCCTAAACCCTAAACCCTAAAACCCTAAAACGCTAAACCCTAAACCCTATAAACCCTAATTACATGTCTCGGAAACTCGGGCTCTCACTCTGCGTCGGGTGTTCTCGCTGCATACTCTGAGTACGGCTGAGGGCTCAGGGGTTTAAGGACTTCATACTTAACCCGGGGGCTCCAAATAGCCCAAAGTAGGTACTACTTACAGACTTTAGACCCCAAAGTAGGTACTATTTGTATACTTGGAGCCCTAGGGTAAGGGCTTGAAGGCTCTAAGCCGTCAGCCTTTAATTACGTGCAGCTGAAAGCAGGCAGGGGAACCGCCAGCAAGGTTAAGTCTCTCATGTTCGTATGTGCTTAGCCACACAACTCAAAGCAAAGCCAAGCCGACTTTCGACTGATACAGTCCTAGACCCCGGAGCTAAACCCCACACCCTAAACCGTAAAAACCGTACAACCTAAACCCAAACCCCTAAACCCTAAAACCCTAAACCCTAAAGCCCTCGACCCCAGACTAAACCCTACACCCCAGGCCTAGATCCTGAAAGCACCGAAGACCCGAGCCCAGCTATTTCACTGTTTAGGGCTGAAAGTTTAGGGTTTAGGGGTTTAGGGGTTTAGGGGTTTAGGGGTTAGGGGTTTAGGGTTTAGGGTTTAGGTGCAGGGTGCGTTTCGAATGGAAAACCGAAACCCAAAGGGTCAGATGTTTACGGTAGATGTAAAGCACTGAATTCACCCAAAGCCTTCGCACCGCTGAAGGGGAAGTCCGCCACATCCACGTCTCCGTTCCTAGGATCTATCAATATGTGGGTTTAGGGTTTAGGGTTTTGAATTTAGGGTTTAGGGTTTAGGGTTTAGGGTTTTGAATTTAGGGTTTAGGGTTTAGGGTTTAAGGTTTTGAACTTAGGGTTTAGGGTTTAGGGTTTTGAATTTCGTTTTGGAGCTTTGGATTAGGATCCCCGGGTTTGGGGCGATTGGATTCAATCGGGGTGTGGGGCTTAAGAGATTGAGGTCTTCCGGGGAGTTTTTTGGGGTTTACAGTCTTGGGATGTGCGTTTCGGGTTTCAGGTTTCAGTATGTAGTCTTGCGGTACAGAAGCACCTGCCAATGTACTTTATATACTTAAAAGAGTTTGATGTGGATTGATTCGGTGGTCTCCAACAAACTTGCAGACAGGAGCTTATGCCCACTCACTCACCCTAAACCCTAAACCCTAAACCCTGAACCCTGAACCCTAAACCCTAAACCCTAAACCCTAAACCCTGACGACAAGTCACTCACGAAGCCACACAACCTGAATGCCCCGACCAGCTCATCAGCGAACCCCGATCCCCAAGAACCCAAGCCAACAAAAAATATAGTCTACCCTAATATAGTAGAATGAAAAACAGATATAGTCATGATATCGTATAATAAAGTATACTATCATATTGTATAATATAATATAACACAACATAACATTAACACCGCAAGATAGACCACACAGGGGGGGAAAGGTCCTCTCAATCTAGCTAACATCATCCGGAAGCTCGGCTCCAGTCATAGAGACATACTAGCTTTAACCATGGGCCCCTTCACCCCAGCCGGCCAGAAGCCAAAGTCTACTCAGAAAAGGGAGAACATTCGAGTTTACCAAGCAAAAAACTGGTAAACTCTGGCAGGCATGAGGGCAGCCAGCTAGCAACACACGTGTTCTTGTCATGGTACAGCGCATATGTCGCGCACCTGCCTTAGCGAAATGACCCTCAACACCGGGATCAGAAGAACATCAGGCCTTCAATAATTACCGATACTCTTTTTTTCTTTTTTTTTTTTTT